ACGGAGCTGGGACGACACGGGTGCGGCGTGGCGTCTGCCCGGAAACCCCTTGGAGACCCAGCGCCCGGGGTGTTTGTGGGGGCCGGTCGCCTAGGCACCCCTGCCTGGCAGGCACCCAAGTCCCAGTCTCCCCGAAGGAAAGCTGGGTGTCAGCGTAAACCAGCGCGTTTGTGCAAACAGTCCAGGCCCGGGAGAAAGGAGGGACCCCTTTTTCCAGTCCCGCACCCCCAGGCGATGACCTCGATTCCCCCCAACGCTGACTGGTGTCCCACGTGTTTAGCTCAGTTCTGACACCACCTGCCTGGAGGCAGCCTCGGATCCCACAGGTCAAGGGCTCAGTCCCACGAGACTTCCGGGGGCACTTGGATGTGATGCGGTTCTCCTGAAGGCTGTGAGCTCCGGGGGAGGGGGGTGGGGTTCAGTGTCCGCCTCCCTTCTGGTCTCGGCCTCCACACCTTCCGGGAGTCCCCGTAGGTGTCTCCTACAGGAGCGATCACCCAGCCCTTTGCCTGCTTGGTCTTTTCCATCTTTGGGTCTCTGGTGTGTGACACCTCCTCCAGGGAGTCCATCCTGATTACCCCATGTAAAGGGACGTTGTCTGTTCTCACCCCACGCCTTCTTTCTCTTTAAGGCATTTGTTTGCTGTAACCTCCCGTGTGTGTTTGTGTGTGTGGGGGGGCTTACACCTCTGGAATCTCAGCTTCCATGAGGGGGGTCTTGCCCACCTCCAGGCCGTACATCCGGCCCCAACTCTGCCCCAGCACTAAGGGGCCCCGCGCTAATAAGTGTTGGAGCCCGGCTGGCCTGGCTTAGTGGTTGAGGGTCGACCTATGAACCAGGAGGTCACGGTTAGATTCTCGGTCAGGGCACATGCCCAGGCTGTGGTCTCCATCCCCAGTATGGGGCGTGCAAGAGGCAGCCAATCTGTGACTCTCTCTCATCACTGATATTTCTATCTCTTACCCTTCTCTCTCTCCCTTCATCTGTCTCTAAAAAAATAATAATAATAAAACATATTTCAAAAAATATAAAAATAGAGCTGCCATCGGACCCAGCAATCCCACTTCTGGGAATATAGCTCATGGAAATGAAAACACTTTGTATAAGAGACACCTGCTCCCCCACGTCCATAGCAGCATTCTCTTCCGTAGCCGAGACAGGGAAACAGCCTAGGTGTTTGGTGAACGGATGAGCCGGTGCGGCACTCATGCAACGGAGCGTTATCCGGCCACAGAAGCGAAGGCAGTTCTGCTGCCGTTGACGAAGTGGATGGACCCTGAGGGGATGATGCTGAGATGAGCCTGGCGGGGAAAGACAACACGCTGTGGTCGCCCTTACACACGGCCTCTAACAGCAGCCCAGGCCCGTGGGAAAGGAGATCAGATCGGTGGTGGCTGGAGGCAGGTGGGGAGAAGGGGCGTTGGATGGAGGTGGTCAAAAGCTGCCCATTCCAGCTCTAGATAAACACGTGCGAGGGCCGTCGTGTTCGACAGGATGGCTGTCGCCAACACTGCTGGTGGAGACACGGGGGAGCAGTTAAGAGAGCGCTAGCCCGGCCGGGGTGGCTCCGTGGTTGAGCGACGACTTACGAACCAGGAGGTCACGGTTGGATTCCTGATCAGGGCACAGGCCCGGGTTGCGGGCTTGTTCCCTATGAGGGCGTGTGCAGGAGGCAGCCAATCCGTGATTCTCTCTCATCATTGATGTTTCTATCTCTCTCTCCCTCTCCAGTCCTCTCTGAAATTGTAACAAAAATCCTATATCATAAAAGGGTAATATGCAAATTGACCCTAACGGGAACGGCTGGTGTCTGTGAGGTGCACTGACCACCAGGGGGCAGACGCTCAACACAGGAGCTGCCCCCTGGTGGTCAGTGCCCTTCCATGGGGCGTGCTGCTCAGCCAGAGCCGGCTCATGGCTGGACAGCGCAGCGGTGGTGGCGGGAGCCTCTCCCACGCCCTACAGCAGGGCCAAGGGTGTCTGACTAGCCATAGGGAGAGGGCCTAAGCCGTCAGTCGGACTTCCCCTGAGGGTTCCTAGACTGCGAGAGGGCTCAGGCCGGGCTGAGGGACCCCACGGCCCCCCAGTGCATGAATTTTCGTGCACCGGGCCTCTAGTATATTAAAAAAAGAGAGACCTAGATCCTAAGAGTTCTTAGGACAAGCACAAAATTTATTTCCTTTTTTGTATCCATCTGCGATGATGGACGTGCATGAAACTTACTGTGGTGCTCACGTCACCGTATATGTAGGTCATGATGATGTGCACCTTCAGTTGTTTTTTTTTAAAATATATTTTATTGATTTTTAACAGAGAGGAAAGGAGAGGGATAGAGAGTTAGAAACATCGATGAGAGAGAAACATCCATCAGCTGCCTCCTACACACCCCCTACTGGGGACGTGCCCGCAACCAAGGTACATGCCCTTGACCGGAATCGAACCCGGGACCTTTGAGTCTGTAGGCTGACGCCCTATCCACTGAGCCAAACCGCTCAGGGCTGCACCTTCAGTTTTATAGTGTGGATGCCATTCCTGTCTCAGTAAGACTAGAGGCGGGAGGAGCACGCTGAAGTATGACATGTGCATGTCTCAAATGGTTCGGTAAAAACCGGTATGTGGCTGGAGCGAGGGAGCAAACTACGGCCGAGTTTCCCTCACCGCTCTCTTCGCTTTTCTGTTTGAAAATGTCCCCGAGTCGGGCACGCAGGGGATGAGCTGCCGCGTTCCCTCCACGCGTACGAGGGGCCTCCGTGTGGGGGTGCCAGTCACGAGTAGGTTTGGCTGTGAGTCAGGAGCCCCCACAGAGCAGCAGCCTGAACGAGCCGGAAGCTTATTTCTCTTGTGGGAAAGGTCACAGGTAGATGGGGAGGCAGCGCCAGGTCCCCGGGACCCAGGCCCCTTCCGTCTTTGCTCCCCAGTCGGTGACTTTTCTCCCTTCATGGCCCAAGACAGCTGCGCCCAGTCCTACTATCGCATCCAATTCCCGGCAGGCAGAGGAGCCAGAGGTAAAGGGCACACTGCTGCTCCTTTTAGGAGAAACACACACACACGCACACACACACACACACGCACACGCACGCACACGCACACAAACACACACACACACACACACACACACACGCCCTTTGGTCGTGTAGCTCTAAGGGGGAGCCTGGGAAATGCCTTCGTCCTAGGCAGCCGTGTGTCCAGCCTGCAGCCGGGCATTTGTTGCTGCGAGAGAGGAGAAGGGCCCTGGCCAGTGTGGCTCAGTGGGTAGAGCGTCGGCCTGCGGACCCAAGGGTCCCGGGTTCGATTCCGGTCAAGGGCACGTACCTGGGTTGCAGGCTCCTCCCCGGCTCAGGCCCTGGTCGGGGCACATGCAAGGAGGCACCCCATTGATGTGCTTCTCTCACATCCATGCTTCTCTCTGTCTTCCCCCTCTCTCTCCCACTCTCTCTAAAATCAGTGGAAAAACATCCTCACGTGAGGATGAACAACAACAAAAAAACAGACGAGGAGGGAGGACCCCAAGGGACAGTGTGCCGGCCCCGCCCTGCTGTGACAGGCCTGTTAAACCCAGGGCAGGGCAGGCCGTCTCCCCCCCAGGGCTTAGCGGGCAGCTTCTTGCCCTGGCCTGTGGCCCAG